ATTTAAGTTCTGGCTAAAAGCAAATTCCTGTAAAAGATGCGTTACAATGTTAGTCCACGCAAAAACAAGAAGTTCTACAATTTTCCTATAAACAAACTTTGTATCGCTAAAATACTTAAGGCAAAAACTTTCTATTCCAACTGAAAACGGCGTGGTAGTCGCCCGCTGATCGTTATTAATCCACCCCCGAAATATGGCTAAATCAGCTATTAACAAATAATTGACAGAAATCCTCTACGGCATCGAGAAACTGATTTACATCCGATTTATAGACAAACACTAAATAAAGAACAATTTGCTCAGTAGCTACGCATCAGCAATGCCCTCTATGCCAAACTTTGTGGTTCTTAAAGGGGAATCAAGACACGAGTCGAGCGCCAAACAACAACAAGCAGCCATGTTCGTGTCAGACATCCTTGAGAAACTTGCTCTTTCACCTCGTTCAGCGCATCAGTCTCCACTTTAAATCAACAGATCTTTACTTATTTTGTACAACGAAGGTCTTTCCTAAGTTCCTGCTACCATTTCAATCTCAAGCAAGCTTTCAAAGTGAACAATTTGGTTCCTAAAACCATGCAGCACGTTCGCTGTCACTGGTCGCGTGCTCTTTGACAAGTCAGCGGTCGCGCATGCTCATGCAAAAAAGACCCCTGTTTTACTTCGGCGGAGCGCGAAGTTAAGGAATCGTGCAGCTCAGGAATGTTCCAAAGTTGCAACTTCGGGACATCCGAATGTTCCCAAGTTGCTTCGACATTAGTTCGAGGTATTTTCGAGTTGTTTGATGAAAGGATAAAGAAATAAAGAAGAAATAATTATTATTTCTTATTATGCCAGGGTTTGCACCAACTCACGTGTAACTTGTCAGATCAGATTAGCCGCTCTAACGATTGCGCCACTGCGAATGCAGGAGGTACGGGGAAATATTTGGCACGCAAGTACGTGACTTCTTTTTGTTTTGAGTTTTTGACGTAGTGACACCGAAATGAGTTCGAATGGCGAGATAATTTCTAGTCCTTTTGGCTTCAATAAATATTTGAGGCGGTGCGCGAAGTATTAAGGTTTTGCGACGCTCAGGAATGTCGTTAACTTGCAGTTTATTTGTTACTAAAGTTAGAGCGGAAGTTGTTTGAGGTCTAGTTGTTTACATAGTTTATCTGAGAAAGAAAGAAATCCTATTTTTAGCTCGATCGGTGACTTGTGGGTTTAATTTTTTTAACTTTAGGAACGTTAAGTTAATGTTTCGCGAGCGAGATATTTCCATTGGCTTTTAGGAAACTGAGTGAAACCTGGAGTGGAGTTTTGGCATTAGTGAAACGTGATTTTGCAGAAATTGTTAGAAAGCGCGCGGAGGACGATCGGAAGACAAACTCAAACACGCCTTGATTCTGAACTATTAAGTTGTGAATCATTTATTTGAAATAATACAGACAAAAAAAATGTATAATAAAACAAAATCAATAATGTTTTAAGAGAAGGCCTCCAATCACCTAAAGGAGGTTTTCAGGATATCGAGGGTCTTCTAATATGAAGGTCAAAAATACATTGAAATAAAATCAAAATACGGCTAAAAACTACAAGGCTCCAAGTAAGGTTGAAAACTAGAGAAAAATGCACTTTATTTTAGTGTCAATGTAATTAGCACGAAAGCATTAAATGAGGACACTATTTTTACGTCTCCTACTGGAGACGGGACGGCCATTTTACGTGGTCATCCAAGCCACGCGAGGGTCTAGCCATTTGCAGGGCAAAGGCAGTACCTTCATTTCTCACTCATTTTAAGACCATGAGTGTTGGTACGGTCCCGGGAGTCGAACCCGCGACCTCCCGCTCTGCGGTCAAGCGCTTTACCGACTGAGCTAATCCTGCCGCGGTTAAATCAACTAAGATTAAAAATACTAAGTACGGTATAAAGTACGCATTTACATGAGTTGCGATAGCTCGAAATTACTTTTAAAAGCAACTTCTTTTAAAATACAAATTGATTTAATCTGAAAACGTTTAGTATTACTTATACCAACCAATGATGTCAGACATGAAGTTTCAACTGTATTGGGGATTGTACAGCATCATTTTCGAATCATTTCCTCTATGTAAGAGAGTCGCTCTTAATAATAGTACATGGGAAAAATGCAAAAGACGAATACATTGTGGTATACAGGGAATGTCAATTCGTCCTTCCTATGCGTTACATTTCACTTCATTGTACACTGCTCTTTACAGGGATGAGATTTTTTATCCTCTCATCAAAGCGAAGATTTCCGACAATGACCCAAACCTCTCCGAAGACGCCCGAAAATTTCCGAATGCGGCCGAAGTAAATTTCTGAAGAAGTTTAGGTGACAAGAACAATCGGAAATCAAAAGTCAGAAATTGGGTGTTGTACGTTCACTCTTTTTTACAATTTTGGTTGTTGAGCCCGAGTGGGGGTGAGGAAGAGTTTCTCCCCACCCGTCCCGGCTTGTGACAGAACTGATAGGCATATACAGCCGACAAGCTTTGCTAATTAGCAGTCTATCTTAGCTTAACTATGGTAAAGTTTCAAAGCCAAGATAACCAAGATAAATGCAATATTAAAGTAGAGGTTTAGTTGGAGTGAGAATATTGCCATAGACAAAGCCGTGTTGACAATCATTGCACAGGCAATGATAAGTAAGCGAATAAGATTACTCGAATGCTTCATCACTGCTGACAAGATCAGTCCATTCATGGCCTGCAATTTAAAAAAGGTAGCATTTGAGAAACTAGCCTGCGAGGGAAGCTCTCCCGGCGTTCCCGGCGTTCCCGGAGAGCTTGCTCGCAGGTTTTTGTTGAGAAATTTAGGTCAGTAACACTTGCAAAAAAGTCAGACCAGTGGTATTGACGTAAGGCCCAGAGTCAACCGGTGAAATGGCTTCGCTTTAGCTAAACTTGGTGTGGAAACGCGATGCGACGAAGGGCTTAAAGCCAGACATACATGTGTAGCAGTGCTAAAGCCACGCCCAAATATAGGCAAATACAACATTTGTTCAAACATACCTGACAGAAAACGATGACTACAGTCCATTTTGAGTAGCCACTGAAAAACCCTGAGAAAAAGCTCAAGTCAGGAAATGACAGCTTGTAATTGTTTTCAATACGTTACTGAACCACAAACCATAAAACATCTTGCACGTATGGCCATGCTACGTATAGAGGTAAACAGTCAAGTCGCCCAAAAGTCATGCAGCCCGAAATTTTATCAGGTGTGATACACGGATAAATAAAGTAGTGTGTATAATGTATCTCGATCTTTAAGCAACAATAAGACGAAACAAGCGCCAAAAATGTGTAATCAGGTGCAACTGTATCGCGTGCTTTAAACCTTGATGAGGCGAAATACGCACGATACACGAGTAATATATCCCGTTCTCTTAGACTTGATAAGACGAAACAAGCGCGATAAATGTATACAGTAATAACGTGTTAGGACGTTGTAGAACAAGACTAAATTTCGGGGAACGTAACTCGGCATTCGGACGACATAACTCGGGTTTCGAGATGACCTTGGGGCGACTTGACCGTAAACCATTAGGGCAAGTTCATTTTGTTGTTACTCACCGGCAGACGAATCGGAAGGCTGTGAATCCGATGTGCAGTAAGCCAATAAGTTGAACATCATGCCATAGAAGTACATCAAAGTGTTTTGCAAGTGCAGAGAGATCTTAGAAAGTCAAGAAACAAGCAGCAATAATTCATACCTAACTCAAAGGTTGTAGGGAATAGATTAAGAGAAATGAGTTTCAGTGCAACCCCGCGGTTATGACAAAACAAATCACATTGAGATGCGGGGATTATTACAGTGGAACCCGGTTAATACGGACACCAAAGGGACATACCATAATGTCCGTATTATTTGGCTATCCGTATTAAGCGGGCTCTCAGAAAAAAAAAAAAAAAACGTCACAGACGCATGTTTATAGATCTAACGATTAAAGCAGACATTTTACCAAAAAATATTAATTTCTTAACCGCAACTGTAAAAAAAAGAAACCCCGCGATCATTGAACCTTTCAGTAAGTATTTTTTTAAACACAACAGTGGAATCCATGACTTTACTAGCCTCCCCCGCACGCCTAAGAATGTCTGCGGGGGAGGCTATGACTTTACTTTCTTATCAGAAGAACTTATGTCTCGACAATAACGCGGACTCGGTCTACCTGCATTACAATCTATCTTTGAAAACTTCCAGTAAGCGCGTTTTTGTTAGAAAGTACGGAGATAACCAGAGTCCATAAGCGGGTAGACGATGAGAGTTTGTGACTCGGGACAGAGAAAAGTGTCCTTTGTCCACAATAAGTGGGTTAATTTTGGAAAAAACTATATGAGCTTTTTGTCGGGGCAAACAAAACTGTCCGTTATATACGGGTGTCCTTATTAACGCAGGCATCCGTAAAGCTGGCTGCTACCATGTTGGTGGTCTTTATAGCCTTTACTAAATGTCATGACGCGAGAAACTTAGCTACGAAAAAGAGATAAAAAAAACAATGTTACATACCTTATACTGTCTCTTCAGGATGTACTCTAAATAAAATAAACGAAAAGAATTGTTTTAATTAGTAAGGGCAGTATCATAAGAATTGTACCACATTTCTAAAGTCCCTTTTAACTGTTCCCATCTTCTAGCACTACATATAAGCCCCTCATACGGAATTTTTCACTACTACAACACACTTCACCTCAGTAGACGTTTTAAAGTAACTGTTAATCTTGGAGACTGTCCTATCAATGCTTTGCAGAGCTCAAGGGCACCCAACGACCGAAAATGTTTCCAAATGCGTCAGAAGTGTCTCAAATGGTTTTCTCTAGGCCATGGAAGCCAGTTCGGTCAATTTCGAGCTGCCATAAACACTGTTCATCTGTTCGGATCTCTTAGGGGAACTTCGGTTGTCTCGAACGGCTTTTTCGTCTCATCCAGACCTGTTAGCTTCCCTCATGGGCACGGTCGAACGTTCGAGGGTGTGGCGTCGCCGTACGTCCTTTAAAAGATTCTAGCGGGCATTTTGTCTTAAGACCGAAATTTCCACGGGGCCTTTTTTTAACAAATAAATTGGCAATAAACAGTGAAAAATACAACTCCGAAAATCGTAGGTAAGTTGGTAGCAAAACTCCGAATATCTTAGACGAATGGAACGGTTATCCAGAATATTTTAGCCTTTTACTCTAGAGACAGCGTTTTAGAAATTTCTAGGCCACATTTGCTCCTTCGAAAGGTTATTTTACTGAATAAAGTTAATAAGTGTCCTTGAGAGCTGTCTCTTAGTCAAAGAGCTTATTAAGGTTTTTTTATTTGTGTCAGCCACCTGTGACTTATGATCGATGAATGTTCACTTCTGATTCAAATCCATGGGACCAAGACAGTCCACCTTTCACTTCACGATGACTTAGCGAAAAAAAACTTCCACTTCTGTTAACTGATTTTTTTATCTCGTTCAAAACAAAATGTTAGTTAAAATTAAGTTGCTCCAAAGTGTTTTAGGAATGTTACTTCTGTTCCAAAATGAGAATATTTACCTGTTGAAATGCCAGCTAAGCCGGACATTGTGCAGTAAAACACCATAAGCAGGAGACCAGTCACTGTGACATATACATGTCTCGCAACATTGGTGGAGTTGTTCCGTACTTGAATGATATCCTGCGATGTTTGCAATCCTCCATAGCTGAGAGAAACATTTTTTAAACCCATCAGAGGAATGTACCCGAATTAGACAATACCATGCAGGGTTGCTAAGGATTTAAATGCAAGTGAAAGTATTTGGCTGGGTCCCTAGGCTAATAAAGATGTTATGTACGTACATTATCTGGGAAATCCATAGCTATCCATGAACAAATACACCACTTCCATTTTGTATCTTTTGTTGTCAGATAAAGTTAACCAGGGGTCGAGAACTAGTAATCGGCCCCTGAGTTAACAAACTAAAAATTTAATTTTCAAAAATGGGTTTTCCTTCGTTCCAGTTTTAAAAGTCACGTTATAAATAAGTGTTTTGCTTGTTCCAGTTTAAAACCCCGCAAAATACTGTCTCGCAAAAATGGCGAAATTAAGTACCATTTAAGGTATTATCAATACTGCTGGATAGAAAAAGTAGAGGTCAAACTTTGAAGAAGTAGCATCCCACTTCCTAGTCCCTAGGCCTCATTATGCCCCCCGGCCTATACGTTTCGGGTCACGTGGTCCGAGCAAGTTTTGAGATACGTCTCGGATACGTCACCGAAATACATTGACCGAGAAGGCATGGAAAGACGCCGTACAGGGACAAGGCAAGCATCCCACCTGGAGAGAGAGAGAGAGTGCGCTCTGTGTTGAAAAGCTTTGTCTATAAAGCGTAAAGATTTGTCTCTTACAACTTTGGCTGGATGAAAATTTCTGAATATAATTTGAATTGGAAGGCAATTTTCTATTGACAGCTCCTGTAGGGTCTACTGACTAACCTGTTAAAGCAACCTGCTAAAGTGATGAGACCAAGAGCAGTCCACTGCTTCTCTGAGATGTTCCTGGAATGCAAAAACAAACATTTAAAACAACAATGAAATACATACTTGTTCAAAGGTTGAGACGTTTCACAATTTATTAAAATTATTTACTCACTACAAAACTTACAGAATAATATTATTACTCATAAAATAAAAACAATCCCTCTTCAAATACTAAAAGTCTCACTTCCAGCCATTCAGGAATGAAGAGAAGTCAGTACCTTCTGATTATGAGCCAATACAAAATTGCAGTAATTCCTGTCTTGAAATTACATAGCACCTGTTAAAAACAAAAACAATAATAAGGAATTCGTCTTCCCTCGGAGTGTTTAGAAAATTGATTCGCTCTAAGTTTAGGCATCAAGATCTTGTTGCTTATCATGGTATCGCCAGGACCCTATATTGGGGGGAAGGGGGGGGGAGCTTTTGGTCCCTTGTCCACCCTGTTGGCCAGCCCTGTGTTCTCCAAACACAACCAAACTCTGTGAGTTTGAATGGACGCCACTCTTAGGAGGTTGCCAAGGTTTAATATGCACTGCACTTGGCTGCACTTCCAGGCTCTGCCAGCCTCACAGGCACCTCTATCCACTCTCATCTCTGTTGGTGCATTTTAAATGTGGCTGAATGAAATTAAGGCTAAGTTAAACTCACCACCAAGGCTGGCTAGCAGCCTCTCGTAAGAGATATGTGGGGGTTCCCTAATTGCTTTGCAGGATTTCACGTGTTTTTTTACAGCTTTTCCCTTAAAGTCAGGCCATTACATTTGCATGTTGCCTGTCATGCCTCTAGCTTTTGAAGGGTTTTTCTACTCCCAATCTAGCTCTCCCCCCCCCCCGCCCCCTTTGGTTTGTTAAATATGTTAGTTTCCAAAAGTAAGCAGTGTGACGGTACTTCTTCTTCCAAAAATGTAGCTGTATACATGGTTGACAAAATTAAGAGCACCTCCCCCAAAAACTGATGGCCAACTCTTAACTGTAGCAGGTGCAAGTTATTATCAAGCCAGGGGAAAGTACGAAGGGGAAAGCCTTTTCTCCCTTTCAGACACATCCTTAAGATTTCTTCCTTCTCCCTAAGAAAACAGGCACCTCAGGTTAGACACTACAGGGTGATGTTTGCATAGTCATTGACTGGCCTGCAGCCACACAATACCATCCTCACACCACAACCACTCCAGCAACTTTCACTTCGTTTCATGGAAGACAACCTAACCAGCATCCTAACCACAAGAAGAAAACACCCTCACTGCCTGCATTTTCAGAAAAAAAGGTCATGTTTAATGTAACAAGTCAAAGTTAAATTCAGGTCGAAATTGCTTATGCTAGGTTGATTCTCAATCTCCTTTGTTTCCTAACCTCAATTGTAATTATTCAAAAATCACCCTAGGTTGAAATTTAAACCTGAATGTAATTTGACCTGCAACATTTACATGTTCTTCCCGGTTTTCTAGCATTTACATGAGGTTCCTGGTTCTAACTCTCCTCCCCATAATTTGTTAAAATGGGGTACAAAGAATTATATATGTGAAGTTGCCAGTTGAAAAGTGTAGTAACAAAGCAATTGAGTATGACTGTACCTGGAAGCTGGCTGGATCCAAGTAAACCTGCACATGAACAGCAGTGTTGTTACTGATGCAGTAAAGAAATGCAGGGATAGAGAAGAAAACGACTGTTTTTATTGGTGGATAGTGTACAGCACCACGCCACATCTCAGGCAGTAGAAGTATCACTGAAAAGAGAAACTAAAACAAGTAATAAATGGTCAATTAAGTGTGTGCTCCCACGATAAATTCTCCATAATTGCCAACACAATTAGAAATGGATAATTATGTACTTTGGGAAAAGTTCACAACCTGTGACGAGTGGAGGGATTTCCAAGGTACTCACTTTCAGCTTAGTGCCCGCCCAGTTAAGAAGCTTTTAATCGGAATTCCCTTGAACTTCTGATTCAGTGAAGAGGGAATTTCCAATGACGCTGGGACTAGTTTCTCAGTTAGAAGGTACTTAAGTTTCTGAAGAAATTCCTTATCTGGCACCTCATGCGCTGCTACTATACATGTATTTACAAACTCTTAACCCTCTAAGACCCAACATCAATAATTATAGAAATTCTCCAGAGTGGTATCCATACATATCCTAAAAATAGTTAGAGAGAACTTGATAAAAGATCAAAGCATTTTCCATTTGGTGATCACCTTATTTACTCTCATAACCTATTCTCTAATGTTTATGTATGGACATTGTAAGGAGAAAATTGTTTTTGGCCATACTTGGAACTTAAAGGCTTAAGCTATGTATACTGCAGACACTAGCTCATCATGAAGGGATTGACTACAGGTTAGTTACTCTCATGTCAAACCTTGATAACTTCGCTTAACAACACCACTGATGCTGAGCTGAATGGAATCTTTCCTTGGTCATTTTTACACAAGTTGATCAGTATTGCATGTGAGCCATAGATAACAACTCTGCCAATAGATGAGTAATAAACAAACTTTATTAATAATTACTCCATGGAATATTTACCTTGCAGTTTTTTAGAACACTGTAATCATTATTGTTGTGAAGAACATCATAGATGTTAATTAATAAATAAAATTTTTATATTAAATATTTTCCCTCTATGGCATTGATTTTTCCTGCTTTGCCAAAATTTTTGTGGGATAACCCAAATTGTTTAGACTGGTTTTGCTGATATTAATTCCGGCCAAACTACATATTATGAAAATTCAAAAGGAAAAAAAGCCTCATTTCAGCCAATTACTGCTTGCGATATATACGTTATGACAACTCATGTACTCGGTACATGGAAAATTTTAGTTGTCTTCATTACACATGTACTTTTTATAACCTGTGTTTGTTGTAGGAAAAAACAACCGGGGTTCTGATACAGGGGTGTTTACTGTATCGTATTCACCAAGATTTATTTAATTTTTTCCTCACCCAGCTACCATCATTACTTTCCAAAGCACTTTCATCAGAGGGCTTGAGAACTGCTCAGTAGAAGAAGTCTGAGGTAGTCTGGCAAAAATCAATCTGGACATCATTTTGATGGATGAATGCAATAACTCTATGCAACGCTCTAATTGGAAAGAAAAACAAATTAAAACAAATTGGTTAAGATAATAATTGATATTCAATAAATTTGCAATAACTTGCAGCTAGGAACAGATCAATAGATTCGTCTTGATCAGCTCACTCACCTAATTGAATCTAATAAGGTACATCTACCGCAATAGAGAGAAGAAGTCATTACGTCATGTTGCTATGGTAGAAAAATTTTCTGGATGACAACAAATCGAAAAATGTTGATGAATTTAAAAAAAGAATTCGCACTGTTTCAGACTTCATCGATCTTGTTCAGTTTCAGATAATTTGTCAAAATTAATATTGGCTAAATTTTGTGGGGTTGAATCCAAAAGGACCTAGCCTGCGAAAACATCTGTTTCTCCTCGCTCTTCGCCGCTGCGGACATTTTGCGCGGAGGAACGTCTGCGACTCAGCGACAGAAATTCCATACTGATGACGTAAAATCTGTCCAGAATCCGGTCAGAAGCGCTGGTCGGTCGACTGAGTAGTTACATTGTTTTAGCTATTGTTTACGAATGACAGACAAAAAGCCACAAAGGTCAAATGTAAACCCGGGATGTAAACGCGAAGAATCTCAAACAAAACAGCCAATATTTGTGGAATATAGTCTTCTCTTGAAGAAGCATTTGAGTTTTGCTGGAGCTCGTTGGCAGATGAACACAACACTTTACCTAAATCGACCAGAAAGACACGTAAAATTGGTCAAATTTGTATTTGGAACCCCATGACTACCAGATTTATTACATAAACATTGATTTACGTCATCAGTATGGAATTTCTGCCGCTGAATTGCAGACATTCCTCCACACGAAACGTCCCCAGCAGCGTAGAGTGAGGAGAAACGGATGTTTTCGCAGGCTAAAAGGACCCAGTGCTCAACACTAACGGGAGTCCTGACTAACCCAGGACTAGTGAAACTTCATGCTGGGCTAGCAAAAATGTACTCCTACTAGCCCTTAGACCAGTTCCTTTAGTAAACAAAATAAATTTGAAGAACTTCAGTCTATAACTTGGGACATTCTTTTTTTTAATATGCTTCATCAGTACTTAGGTTTTCTTTACCTTGAGTATTAAATGTAAAACCTAACTGTATGATTGACTTGCAAAACGATTGCCGTGTTGGAAATGGAATTATGCCTGGGCTGGGTGAACTCCATCACATCACTCCATTTTGAAATTTTTTCGCGCATCTACGAGAAAGCATCCTTCAATGGCCAATGATTCTTATGCAGTTTTTTGTACGTTGTTTCCAAAGGACCACACACAGCATGAAGAGAAAGAGATGCAGGTCATCGTTTTCTAGATCCCCAAAGGTTGAAAGAAACATATCCTTGGCTGGGATTCATTAGCAGAAAAATTTCTTGTGGAACTTGTAGCAGTGTGTGAACTCAAACAGTAGCGCTAAGCAGATTAGCAAATTGCAACTATGCTTTTATCGCAGAAACAGAAAATTTCTGTTTTTTGCCTTTACCAGTTTAAAGTTGGACTTTCAAAAAACGTATTGACTGTATTTATAAAGAATTGAAAACAAACAAGATACGGGAGGAGACTAGACACCGGAAGGAAATAGTGGTTCCACACCCACACTGGGTATATATTTTTTTGGGCTTTCTTTTTTTCTTTTGACCAGTGACTTCACCTCGTGGGCTAGTGATTTATGTCACTTGCTAGCCCACTGCCTAGCTACTAGTGTCCAAACAAGTTAGTGTTGAGTACTGGGACCATATTTCAGTTTAGAAAAAGAAAAAAAATTGTGTTGTTTTCACCTACTTTATAAAGCAGGTGCGTGAAATTAGGAAGTTTCACGTTGTAGTCGTACAACAACAGTTAAGAATACAAAAAAGCATGATGCACATGCAAAGTTGTTGTTTTGCTATCTAAACATATTGCTTTTTTCCTGTTTTTGTTACCGACACTGTCAACGTTGCTTAATGTTGGGATCCAAAAATTTTCCTACCATGCTAACGTGACGTCACACTTCTCCTCTCTATAAAGGATGTCTCTCTTGTTTACTTCAAATCAAATGTGACAACGCACTTCCGCTATGCACATTGTTTAAACGTGTATGATATTCTGTTGTGTGTTGTTGGCGTGAAGATTACATGAGATAGAGATTAAATAATAGAAGGCACAAACATAACAAAGCATCGACTTGAGACTTAAATAACGGGCGGAAAATTAGCTTGATGATCGATTCATGACAAGTGACAGAGAGTAACTGACGCAACGTACTTTAGAGTAAAGTAGACTTCAAATACGTAAATAAAATATCCATAATTAGAGCTATAACAGACAATGTAGCAAAAGAAATAAGTAACTCAACAAACCTGGCGATTCAACAAGTATTTGTAAACAAGGACTTTCTTCCGCGAAGTCATCAACAACAACAAATGCAACTAAGCAAATAATTGAATTTCCGGACTCCGGACAATCTGGTACCCAGAGTCCTCCTAGCGCTTCTCCATCCCGAGTCCCATCTCAACTTTCCTATCTGAGGAGATAGAACGCCTGGTGGTTTTTTGAAGGAGATGTTAGGAGATCGTCGCTGAAAAAATGTCTGGAGAAGCTGCTGTTGTCACTGGAGCCAGCTTGTGTGTATTTTGCAGCCTGTTTGAGTTGAAACAAAGCGCTGGCTATGTATTGTTTCATATAGTTTGTAAGTAGAAAAGCTAATGAACGTAGCTAGTATAGAGTACGAATCATCTGATCTGCAAATGATTATGATGGCAGATCAGATACGGTCAAGCTATATACTGTACAATGAAGTAGCTCTCCTTTGCTTTCACGTGGGTAAGATTTGCACACAGAGCGATCTCATACTACTTCACACGTCAAACAGTTTACACGAATAGAGAAGTATGCATTATAAATACACGGGCAGGGCTGTGAGCACTGCGAGGAGACCGAGGAAATCTTACCTTCTCTAAGTTGATAATTTTAATCATAATGAAAATACAATTTCGGACTGGTTGAACCCCAAGGTATTTGTTTCTTTAATACCCTCGTAGCTATGTCCAGAAATTTATGCTAATGAGATTCATTCCTTGACTGACATTCATCACAAGGTGTTCTTTAGCAGGGTGTCATTAGGCATCGGAGATCAGAGAATTCTATGTTTGCTACATTGAATTCTCCAGCTAATGTTCTTTAGCCCATGACTATGACTATTTTTTATTCAGACATGGAGCCTCTTTCAAAAGATTCTCCTCTAACCTGCCATTCTTAATGAAATCCCTGCTCTAGCCCTATTACTCCACACTGAAATGCAAGGAATTCTGTCAAACGTGGAAGTTACAATTAATTGTGTCTAATATGAAGTACCCAAGGTCTGACTTGTGTGTATTCCTCAACATAAGTGGCTGAGTAATGACTAGCTTCAGTGATGCAGAGGTGGCCTGAATTTTTTGTAATCTACATGTTTTATTTAAGTATTTTTAGTTGCTTGTCTTCCTTCAATGAAATCACGATGGACAGTGGGTATCAAGAAATGGTTTACTTTCAGGTAAAGCTACATGCATAGCTATTCAGTGTTTTGTTTCCCATCACTCTCTCTTTCAATAAAAGAGCAAAATTATGGGACAAAAAGAAAACAACAGCAACAATAGGTGATGACTCAGGGTGCAAAGAAAATCATTTTTACAGCTTGCCATTCGGGCAAGCTGAAGCTAGCATTTACTAGCCCAGACGTCATTTCAGCTAGTCCCAAAAACGTTTTCTTCTTCTTTTATTCAAATTCCTCTTAAAACAATACTTGCCCGTCGGGCCGATAGCAAAATCCACTAGCCCCGGGCTATTGGACAGTACTTTCTTTGCACGCTGTGACTTAAGTGCAGGATTATATTATTCAACTAGCTAGGATACTTCATGCAACAACCATATTACTGTAATGTTATTTCTTTATTCGTGGTAGGATAATTCCTGAAAAGGAGCCCTGAAGAGCTCCAGAAAAGAAATTCTTGTGAATGTGTTAAGACTAGCATTTAAGGACGTTTTTATCCTTCTAGTAGCTAATTAATAGTGCTAAGCAAAGAAAGGCAATATGGGTAAAAGATCTTAACCTATGATGAAAAAAATCACAAACTTAAGCACAGCTGTACCAAGAACTTGTTAAATCACTCCATACTAGCCTATGTAATAAACCTCACCCTGTACAATAACTGACGTAACAGCCATTTCATTTTCAGGCCATTTGCTAGTGATGGTATGGAAACTGGCTCACTTTTAGTTCCGATGGTTCTTGCAAGTCAAATAGCATTTATTGAGAGATGGCCAGACAAAAATCTTAAAGTATCAGGTACTATAAATAATTTTAAAACAGTGTACTTGTCTCTAGATTTCAGATCTCCAGTGGTTAATACCTCTTATTGTATGCAAAGTACATGGATGTGCAATTAATTAAATGTTTGTATTATTCCAGTGCTAAACAGATCCTATTTGCTAGCCTCTCAACTGATGAGCATGTTCACAGTCTCAATTATGTTATTTTTAAACAATGAGAAACTATTGGTCTCTTCATTCTTCTTCTTTCTGGTGACAACATCAATTGGAGCCACAATAAATGTTCACTTTGCTGGTATGTATTATCTGGTCAATAGTCCAATAATCAGTATCAACACTGACTATCAAAGAAAAATTTGTAAACTACACACAGGTGTTGTCATCATCATATTGATCATCACCTTCGCTGTGACCGTACCATTATTTTTCTACAAAAACAACAACTTTAATTCAATCTTTCAATTACAGTTGAACCTCTATTGAACAGTCACTCTTGGGGTACTGGCAAGTGGCCTCTTAATTATAGAGGTTGGCGGCTCGATGGAGGTTCATCATAAATTAGTATAATCTTTAGGAGAAACATCACATTATTTTGAAACAAACTTGTAATAGTAGTCAGTCACTCTTGGGGTACTGGCAAGTGGCCTCTTAATTATAGAGGTTGGCGGCTCGATGGAGGTTCATCATAAATTAGTATAATCTTTAGGAGAAACATCACATTATTTTGAAACAAACTTGTAATAGTAGAAGCATTACAGATCAATCATTTAACTGTTCACAATCAGTCGTCACCCTCTATCTCTGACTGTATTTTCCTTCATCATATTCTTGAAATGAAGCCAGACAAAATGTATCAAGGGCTTCATATCCACTTAATAGAGGTGGCGACAATGGGAGAGCTGTCGTTGACACAACCAAAAGGTGCATGCTGCAGCTCCTGCCTATTAGAGGTTTAATTTCCCATTCTTTTCTATAAATTATTTTGAGACTCTGATTACTAGCCACTTAGTAGAGGGTGGCTGCTTAATAGGTGGCCGCTTAATGGAGGCTCAACTGTATACAGGATAATGCTTGATTCCCATACAACAGCTTAACCTAGTTGAGATGGGCACAGGGGACATCTTCAAGATTGATGACACTCTGATATTGCCACTGTCTTTGCTAATCGAAATCAAGCGGTACTTACTACAATGTACTTCTTACCATTTAGTTATTGGAGCGTTAAACTCTCATAGTAAGAAAAGCCAAACCTAAACATTTTATTTTGCAGATATAGATATTATCCGAGTGTCCATATGTGTGTGTTTGTTCTTTGTGGCTTTATTTGCCATCCTGCGATGGATACCAAAATCTTTTACTGTCGGTGAAGCAATGATCATTACAGAGGCAATAGTTCTGCTGTCAGTTGATTCATTTGCAGATCTTGCGATAAAGGTAAACTTGTTGTAAAATATTTTAATGCCTTGACTGGCAGTTTTCATTAAATAAATTAATAATTATGCATTTAAGCAAACTGGTTGCATGGTTTGTAGACAATATACATGTACATGTGTTTTTTTCTTCAGATTCAAATTTTTTTGATAACAGTATTATGTCTAAAAGTAGGTTGAGTTTGATCATCCTTGTTCATGCAGTTACCACATAAATGCTTACAACCCAATTTTGAAGTTTCTTGATAGCTCCCATAATCAGTTTCACTGTATCTTGGTGACTGAAGAATGATATGAATGGGTGATAGCCCTCCTTGGTATTGAATTGACCTTTGCATCAAGCTTCTTTTAAATGAAAATATTATGAGTGAGTCAGAATAAAAACAGTAATGTTGCAACTTGAATGTTTACAGTTGTCTCATATTTGGCCTCCTTTTCGCAACATCATTGGAATCCATGAAGAGCTCCCCAAAAGCACTCATTTGCACTGGATACAGGTAAGTGCCTGGCAGAATTGATGGCGTATTCTTTCCATACCCCCTCATTATTTTAATTAGACCAAACCATGGCCCAAAGAGGGAAAAAATTTCAGGGAGCTCCCCCTTGACGTACACAAAACCTGGATGAGCATCCCCCCTCCTACCTCAATGAAGGTCTGGACTCATTACTGATTTTAGTGTGATGGTGTATGCATAATTCTAAATTCATCATCATAGACACAGGGGAGGATCTGGGGGGTTGAATTATCGGGTGGTTAGCAACTCCCCTTTATAAGGACAGCCCAGCCAACCCTCAAAATGCACTGTGACTTACCTCTAGTTCCTCTCTTTTGTGGTGTTGCATAAATTAACAAATACCAGTAGTTTGCAGTGCTTGGTAAATGGTATCAGTCTTCCCCTCTATAAAAGATCCTGGATATGCCCCTGAGTCATTCAGCAGGACTGACCACCATTTTCATTGCTTGCAGGTTCTAATTACAGGCTCACTTACTACAGGACTTTTATTGCTGCCAGTTTTTTATTACCTGACTTTAGTTCGGTGAGAAACGATTGCCCACCTTTTTAATCTTACAGTAAAAATAACATGTACCTGTGTTGGCATTATTCATTGCTGATATAGTAAGGCTACTTAAAACTGTGAATTTGACTGGGTAAAAATATATATATCTTGCAAAAAAAAAGACTATTGAGCCTTAGAAAACAGCCAACTCTTCATGACGCCACCACTGGTCTCCCCTTAAAATGACATGTGAGGAATGAGTGCAGAAATTCCATGCTGATGATGTGTTGGAGATCAGAGAATTCCCCATTGACTACGCAGAATTCTCTGGCTAACGGTCAATAGCCTATGACTATTTTTTTACTCAGATCAGAGTCTCTTTTAATATATTAAAGAATATTCTCCTGCAATGTTACATCTTTCTCCTACTACTAGAATTCTTAATGAAAACCCTGGGGTAGTGAGGATTGCTTGTGCCGCAATAGAAATGTCTGCTTCAACCAATCAGTACTACCTTGATCTGGGTGGTAACATGTGTCACCATTTTTGAGCTTGTTCCTCAAAAGTGATTACAAGCAAACCAGTGGTAGCATAGTGGAATTGTGGCTGTTTTCTCAGGTTAAAGATGATTTGACCTGTAAAAAATCCTCAACACAGTTAAATCTTCCATGAATAGCAACACTGT